CTTTGCTGAGTATTTTAAAACGCTTCTCTTTTCCTATATCCCCTGCCTGTTCCTTCTTGGCACCCAGGACCAGCTACCCTGGCTCTACTCACAATCTTACTGTTGTTGGTGTAAAAGCCCTCTCCTAAGGAGAAAATGCCATCTGAAAGGGCCTTCTTGTGCTCTTCTGCCTGATCGACTTTTCATTTGATTTCAAAGACCTAATCAAAACTTCTTCCCTCCTTTCCTTTTGCCTTCTAGTTGCATTTTTCACTGTCATCAGTGAAAAAATAATTTATATAATGAATTGCTAAAATATTCTGAATTTCAGAATTATAATGCCTAACTGTAATGGTCTGCCTGCTAATTTTTACAGCCTTTAGCCTTCTGCCTCTCTATGTCCCCTCTCTCGTATGTGAGATCTTCAGTGAGGACTGGTCACTGCTCAATAAGAAATGAAAAAAACAACTATCAGACATTAGCAAAAATAATCCAATTTCTTCTACCCGATTCTAATACCTGCTGTACCACCTAAGCACCAAGCACAGGGAACTGAGGTAGAGCATAAGAAGTGTAACTAACAGCAGATGTAGTGCCTGCCTTGCAGTCAGCAATACTTAAGGAGACTCAGAAAGAGCACGTACGGAAAAATTCCAGGTAAGAGGAGCAGTTACCATAATACTTTTAAATAAAGACTAGCACTGAATGGTTTTGAGCAGCACAGAAGCGGCAGCATCTGCAAGAAATAACACCATCTTTATCATTGGTCAGTGTTCACTGCATTTACCTATTGCTGTACTGGTATATACACTGGAAGAAAAAAAATAAAAATTCTACCAGAAATATAAAACCTAATTCAATCCAGAAGTTTTTATGTGAAAAAAGTAAATGAATTCTGACACCTCTAGTAGCCAGCCCAGGGCATCTTCACATAAACAGTTACCAACTGTGTTTGAAAGTCCTTTAAGTTAGAGAAGGGCATTTGCAGACCCCATTGGTCTGAGAAAATTGCTACATAAAAGACTGAGCAGGGCGTTTACACGTACACAGCAATAAAGGTACATTTAGAGTGATGTAATCAAATTCAGAAGTACGCCTGTGATCAACACGTGTTTTAGGAATAACAGCTACTGTAAGGAACATGGTCATGAAGGGAAAAAGATCTCTCATTTCCCTAGCCATACTTCAAATGTTTTTGACTGAGTTTCTTTTTCATAGTTGTCTTCTATAGAGAATTTCCACTTCCTTTTCTTGGGAGGGACAGAGGAAGCAAGGGGTAGTGTTGCACACTTCAGCCACAGAAATTAAAATATTTTAGAAGTGGAAAAAGTAATGGTAAAACCATAAAAGGTGTTGGGAATCTCAGAAATGCATGTAGTCATAGCTGCTATTTTCCATTTCTGTCTAAATTTTAGTTGACACCTTTCTACTCAAAAGGCATACAAAGGCCTTCGTCATATCAAATACACAAGGAGAAATTTTATACAAATGCCACTAAACTCTTATGAGAGTAGGACAGTTTAGCACTTTGCAAAAACAAAACTGGAAGACTGAAAGAATGGTCAGGTTCAGAGAACAGATCATTACTTGTATTTTTGGAGCCAATACACTACAAGTCATGCTTAAAAGAATCAAAAAAAGTAATTCAGGACAGTTATTTCCAGAAAATCTGGATAAAATAGCCATTAATTGCAGTGTGACAATTTGATGCTCATTAGTGATAAAGTAAATGACCATTATTTTTTTTCTGTCAGATAACTTGAGTTGAAACTCCAAGAACTGCATTACATTTCTAATTCAAAGCAACTAGTAAATAAACTGAATTGTTGCATAATATTATCCATTCTCTCTGTGTGTATGTTAAAGTGCATGTTACACATTAATACTTAACAAATCATTTAGTGAATTCAATTTGCTTTTTTCCTCAGTGTCTGTCAGGTGTATGAAATACCAGTAGTTTTCTTAACTGACACACTCCTATGTTTGTCCTTTCCCCAGGGTTTGAAAGACCACCAAGACAATTTTCTTCCTTTAGTCCAAGTTATTTGCTACTTTGAAGCTAAGCATTTGTTAAAAGAGCACAGTTTTCTGTGATTCAGAAGAATTGGAATTTTTCAGTTTTGTAATCTCAAACTTACATGTGGACTTCCAAAATTTGTAATTACTAATTTGACAAGAGGTTGCAAGGAAAATAAAAATCAGGATGAGTCCTGGTGCTTCTTTTCCCTGCGCTTGGTGTTCAAGCTGGCGCACTTCCCTGCAACTGCGTGTGGCAGAACTACCACCCTGCTTTCCAGGAAGAAGGATTTGGATACTGAAAGTTGTTGTTCTCAGAACAAGGAGAACTGGCCACAACACCAACTGCAACACAAATACTTTGCAGAAGAGGGAATTTTGATATCAGTTCCTATTATTTAGGTGTTAGTTCAACTCCTAATTCAGACACATCCTTAAGAGTCAGCACTTAAGTTGTCCCAGGTAAGTTCAACAGCACAACTCAAGTTCCTCTGGCCTTGTAAGAATCCAGGACATCTGCTGCAGTATCTGCTTATTGACAGAATTTTTAACTCCTCACACAAAAGGTTCCTCAAAAAATTCTTTTTCAGTGGGGAGCTCAAGCAGACCCTAAGCACAGTACCAAGCCCTTTGGGTAGATCCTGATTCCAAAAAACAAACATAGAAGCTGTTTATGTGCTTTGCTGAATCACGGCCTAAACACAACAGGACTTACCATTAAATACGTCAGGTCGGTAGATAGATAGATACAGATTAAATAATTTGCTAAAGTTGGATGCTTTAGTCTAAAAGGCTTTACAAAGCATTAAAAAAATACAAAATAGTACCACAGAATGGCTTGGGTTGGAAGGGACCTTAAAGATCATCTAGTTCCAACCCCTCTGCTGTGGACAGGGTGGCCAAACACTAGATCAGGCTGCCCAGGGCCCCATCCAACCTGGCCTTGAATGCCTCCAGGGATGGGGCATCCACAACTTCTCTGGGCAACCTGTTCCAGTGCCTCACCACCTTCTGGGAGAAAAATTTTCTCCTAATATCTAAGCTAAATCTCCCCTCTCTTAGTTTAAAATTATTTCCCCTTGTCCTATCACTACCTGCCCCTGTATAAAGTCACTCCCCTACTGTTTATAGGTTCCCTTCAAGTACTGGAAGGCTGCAATGAGGTATCCCTGGAGCCTTCTCTTCTCCAAGCTAAACAAGCCTAGCTCCCTCAACCTTTCTTCATAAGAGAGGTGCTCCAGCCCTCTGATCATCTTTGGCTCTCCTCTGGACCCGTTCCAACAGCTCTACATCTTTCTTGTGTTGGGGGCTCCAGGCCTGTACACAATACTCCAGATGGGGCCTCACGACTCATTTTTGTCAACTTAGAAAAATCTGTAATACCAGATTTGAAAGCATATTCTCAGGTTTAAAAAAATATATTTTGGCTTGTTTCCAAAGACAGTTTACATATTATGGAGTGAGGAATTTATCAAAGCCCTGAATAATAACAAAAGAAGGGGGGAAATTCTCATTTTATCTGTTATCCTTCTCCGGAGAAGAAGCTCAGAGAGCTGCCTAGCACTCTACTGTTTTATACGTTTATATTCAACCTTCCAGCTTGTGAGCCTGAAGCTTACAAAGGCTAATGTCCTAGTGGGATGGGTTAATTCAACAACAATCAGTCTTCTTTTTCCCCTAAATGGTTAGCAACAAAAATCAAACCATCTTCTTCCCTCAAATGTGATAGCTACCTAAGGGCTCTCAATCTATGTCTAACAGGAGGAAGCACAAATTGTACAATGAATAAATTGCTCTAATCACTTAACTGCCTTTCTCATAGATTAATCAATTCTTTTACTGAAAACCTAATTTGTGAATAAGGATGAGAAACAAGTATGGGGAGAGCGTGCAGTTAAAATTTTCAGCAATACCTGTAACAGAGTTCTCTTTTACAGTGCACAAACATTCTTCATTTTAACATTCACGTAAATATATTTTATTATTTCTAAGATGTTTGAAGTGATGTACACAGCCAGCACAGTTCTGCCAGTGCCAGCAGACCACATACTTACTGACTTGGGAATTTCCTCAGCATGAAAAAGCCCAGAAGGGAAAGCTGCTACAGCCAGCTAGACCCCTGGAGTGGTATGTTCTGAGAGTGAGGATAATGAAGCGCTAGCAAGCCAGCATCACTGCATAGTTCTGACAAATAAGCAATAGCAGATCTTGATCTCAGTTTACCTTTACATGTCAGGCACAGATTTATGTGCACACCACATGTCCCTGATTAGCACTATCTCTGAGAAGGCCAGGGGAGGCAGCTGGGGCTGGTAACAGCTTCACTCATTCAATTTTAATTGACTCCTGTGTGTTTGTCAGACCCCTCAGAGCTGCCTTCCTTCTGTTTCAACTTGTGCCAAAAGCTGAACTGGTCCCATTAACCAACCACAGGGAACGAGCAAGCAAGAAGTACCGACCAGCTACAGGTACAGAACAAAGTCTACATTGCTATTTGAATTACATTTTAGATACAATCTGCACTGAATTTCAAGATCATAGAACAATGATCACAGTTCAAGCTGCAAACCCAGTGAAATTCAACTCTATTCACAAAATTAAGCATTAAAGCAGGCTTTGGTTCAGAATCCTTTTGCTTAATTTTAATCTTCTGTGTCTGTACTTAGTGTCCAAACATATCTCTCTGAAAATCATACAGAAATGCCCATACACTTCAGTGAGATCAAGACTATACCACTAGCTGTTTACCGAACAACTACTGATACAGTTTTCAAATGGTATGCAATCAATCAAAATATTCAAAACAAAACAGAGTAACAATAATATTTTATGCATTTTTTACTTTCTCTAATAGTAATGAATGACTTAAGTGAAAGCTTCAGTAACGTGGGTCCAGACATATATCCTTGATCTCTCTTGTAACTCTTTTCAAAGTACATATAAAGAACTGGTGAAGATAAATGGCAGACAGCATCGCTGTTAAAAAAAGCGTTCATAAATCTTACCTCTGCCTTTATTTTATTGTCTCCGAAACAGAGGTGTTGTAAGTAGGCTGCAGCATTGGACTGTACTGAGGGAAATTGATGTTGTAACATCTGTATAACTTCTGGAAGCTCTGGATCTCGCCATCCGAACTCTCTGTGCAAAAATAAACGAGAAAGATTCATCAAAAATGCTGCTACTAGTGAATAAATGTGGCAACACTTGGGTCAATAAAGAAGACAGACATGTCTAAGTAAAATCTTGATTTTTTTTTCTCCTTTATTTTCAAAGCAAACATTAAATCAAATATGAAGCTGTTTTTAATTTTAAACTGTACTTCTCTGCCAAAAAAAAGGTGATATAAAGTATAATTAGAGTAACTTTGTGGAATCAGGTCTCTAATTGCTGTATGAAATCTTGATATAAGAAAAGAAAGAAAATACATGCTCATACCATTATACTATCTCTATTAAAATTAAAATCTGGAGGCTAGAATCAGAATCACAAATGGTTTGTTATACAATGCTAGTTTGTCAAAGTCATTTTGATTTACTGCAATCTTTATTTGATATAAATTGCTATCTTATATAGAAAGCAATGACCTATTTTGTCTTTTGGTATATTTTTTCCAGATATGGTCCATGCTCAGTGTAAAACTATTAAAACAGTTCTGGCCCTGCTTGAGCAGGAGGTTGGACCAGATGACCTCCAGAGGTCCCTTCCAACCTCAGCCCTTCTGTGATTCTGCAATTTTACAGTTATACAATATACACTTACACATTGAAATACTTTAAAATCTTTATTATCACTACTACTCAATCTAAAGCAGCTAGGTAAATACATAGACTTCCTCTTTGCACTTTTCTTTAATCCTACAAAGCATGGAACACTGTTGGTATCAAATGAAACAACTGAATCCAAGTGTGTTGAACGAGTCCCAGCAGACATTCTGCAGCTTCCAGAAATGAACTTAAATCAGTCACTTCAGGTAAATTTTTCTGCTCCATGTTTAAGAGTAAAATAATTCATTAAAATGGCTTTGGACTTTGTGCCCTCAGAGACATATATACTTGCAGCTACTCTGCGTGACATCCTTAATTCTCACATGCCTTTCCCCTGAGAGCTAATATTTTGTGCCATATAAATGTTTTCACCATCTTCCATCTAATGCTACATGTGTAAGGTAATAGAGGGAAATTAGGGGAAAGAGGCGATTTGTGAAGAAGTTTGTAGGTTCTCTGTTGCAGTTCCAATGATCACCTGGGAGTTAATTGCCAAAAAAACCCCACAAGAGCAGTTGCATAATATTTGAAGAAATATTCCTGATCATTAGGTTCCTTCCCAAATTATAGGGATTCTGCTGCACTGAGGCCAAGTGTACATCACTGGGGGAATTCACCCAGTAACACTTACAGTACCTCTGCAGTTTGTCTCAAGTAAAATCAGGCAGCTCACACTTAAGGTATAACAGTTCTCCAAGATATTTCATGGAAACAAGAATCATTTTACAATTAAAACAAATTACTGCAGAACAGAGGTACTGTCTGTTTTCTTTTCATATGGGATATTTGCCAGATTAAGAGTTGTCATTACAGTTGTATCTTTATGAAGATCCAGAATATAAATAGGAGATGTAAAAAAATACACTCAGAATTTCATCGGCTATTTAACTTATCAGAAAACAGATGTGAACTCTTGAATATTAAATTTCACATTAAGTGTTTAATATAAAGAAACTATGAAGAGTCCATAAATCACATATGGACTCTTCCAATGAATCTTTAGATGATACAGACTGTTGGGAAGCTTCTACAAGAGACCTTTTGCATATGTTCAGAAAGATCTTAACATTGAATTGATATTTTGAAAAGTCAGCCAACATTGTAAAAGGTATCAGGGAAGGCTAGAAACTTTGTCAGGCCAAGATGGCAAACACCATATTTTCTGTGTATTCCATCTTACTGTGGCTCTGTTAATAGGTGGAAAGGAAGTGATTCTTTGGTTATTTAATATGTTATCTTCCTCTTGTATTTGCTTTCTTACTGTTACCCGTGTTAACACTTGTTAACAGGTTCTTCAAACATATTAGACCTACCTCCTGTATACATAGCTCTCAGCCAAGCAAAGACATCTTCCAGAGTTTTTTAAAAAATAAAAATAAAAAATTAAAAAACAAAACCCACCAAGCTTACTGAGGATAAATTAATTATCCTACCATCACTTCTAATTTGTTCTCATTTTCAATCCTAGATGCCAATTGCAGTTGTTAGTATTTTGGAGAGGATAAAAAATACCAGAAGAAAACAGCTTCTATGACAAGACAAGGAGGAGGAACATTTGAAATAAGTTGCTTTATACCAAATAACTATACTTCCAAGTGTTGGAACTTCTACCAACAAATCCTCTCACAAAGGAAATTTCCTGCTTCATAATATATATATTACTTAACAGAAAGATCTTAACATTGAATTGATATTTTGAAAAGTCAGCCAACATTGTAAAAGGTATCAGGGAAGGCTAGAAACTTTGTCAGGCCAAGATGGCAAACACCATATTTTCTGTGTATTCCAGCTTACTGTGGCTCTGTTAATAGGTGGAAAGGAAGTGATTCTTTGGTTATTTAATATGTTATCTGTTACTTAACAGATAAGTAACTTAATTGTTTCTGTTACTTAACAGAAAACAAACAACCAAAAAGCCCATTATGTGCAGTAGGTACACCACAGAGCCTGATAACCAGCTCAGGTTCTTCTCCCTCTTGTCCTGGAACCAAGGCCAGAAGAGGCAATAAGGGGCCAAAAGGAAAAGGTCCCTTCATCAAAGGTACAGTTAATTGTTCTGATGAGCCTGCAGTCTTGACATGGTATTTATGTATGAAAACAAGGCTGTGCCTACTTTTCCTCTCTGATCTCCCCAAAGAAAAATTAAATTAGGAAATAAGTGATGTATGAGTACTTGTTGGAAATGGTTGTCTGCACATTGGATGTAAGTAGAAAATTAATTCAGAAAAGAAACCCTTAGCACTGAATACTGAGTTTGTCATGTAACCAGTTTTAGGAGAGATAATGAACAAAGCAGGAAGGAAAGTTTAGAAATTTAGCCCCAGTATGCACTGTCATTTCAAGCAGATGGTCTCTAAGATGATTACATTTTTAGTAGCTTCTAAATGAAATATGGTAGCTATATAAAACAAACAAAAACTTCTGTCAACAGTTAAGGCTGCTTGAATAATTGTGATAATTTTAGCAGCCTTCAGGGCGAGAAGAACTAGTTTCCAGGGGTTTGAATTTTTCATTTGTTTTATACAAGTCTCTTATAGGTGGGAAAAAAAGTGAGCTAGAGAAAGAGAGGATTTTTTTTTTCCCCCAAGAAGGGCAAGCTTGCAGCTCTATTAACAACGTTTACTTGAAAAATTTAAATATAGATTTATTTTTTTTTAATTTGGCTTAATTATGAAAAGTTAGGAAGGCTACTTAATGAAGTCAATTGGCAGAGGTCCTGAGAAGGTAGAAGGACTGGAATTTCTTGAAGACAAAGGTACAAAACTATCTGGAACATTTTGCATAGATGTGGGAGAACTTCCAGGCTGTGGTTCCAAGCATACCTATATGACAAAAAATACCTATTAAAATAGAGAACAAACAAAAAGAGAAATAAACTAGTAGGGATGGAAGTTATGCTGTAGAAGTCAAGAGCTGGAATAAACTGGATTGCACCCTGGAAAGGTAACTGAAATTAGACAGCAGAACATCTTTTACTGTCTACCAACAAAAAGCAGTAGTAGGGTCAGTACTTGATGAGGATAAGGGTCAGATTAAAAGAAGGGACAAGGATAATAAAAATAAAACCTTCTGCACCACATGGAAATGAGCTAAATTGGCAACATACGAGGATCCAATCCCTAGTAAAATTATGGAGTAGAATTAAGCAAAATTTGAAACTGCAGTGAACATTCTAAACAAACACTAGCTAAGCCTGTGTCCTTTATTAACATCCCCATGCTTACAAAATCTGAGCAAGGCGATCCACACAGATGGTGAAACAAGCCCAAACGCTTGAGTAAATCTGAGGAGGTGGGTGGCATGCAATTTTTGAGAATGCTATCAAAGTATCTGTGTAGTTGATCTAAAAATTACGAGTAAGCTAGCATCTGTACATACAAGCTCTTCTGCTCTTGCCTACATTTCCCTTGGAATACCAACACTGTCCAGGGTCAGCCAAAGGCTTCTGGCAGTGGTGTGGGTTTTTCCACAAGAGAACCACAGTTTTGCAAGAACTTCACAGCTTTTGCTGGGAAGCAGCATTTGCTGTGCACTCCAAATATTTCAGCAGGTTGTAAAAAGTGTACTATTTCTAGGAAGCTTCCTCATTTGAGGAAGGTGTTCTACCTTCTTACTTTGATGGAAATTGTGCTCTAGGAATGTAGGATTCATCTCACTTTGAATTCTGCAGAAGGTTTCAGCTTGAAGTGGTGACTAAGGCAGATGTTCCATGGATTACAGCAGGCTACTGTTCCAGGGGTGGAAGAGGACCCAAAGGGGAACCCTGAGTTACATATAAGCTGGCAATATATATGCCTAAACTATCACAATAGGCTAATTTTTAAATCTGTGAATAACTGAAGAAAATCAACAAGGAGCTGGACATGAGACAGCAGCTCTGAAACTAAGTAGCAGAAACAAGAAATCCAGGCTGACTTGGGTACTGCAAGTATTGAATCGAAACCAATTCCTGCTTCTGCCATTGTATCACATGCCTATATTAGAAAGCAAAGGAGATGCAGACCTAAGAGAAATTGTTACTAATGCAGCTGAGTGCACTGGCTATGTGGGATCACTTAAAGGTGCTGCTGAATACGCAGTATGTACTGCATCTGAGTATGTGCTTGAATTATACCAGAATTTTCTTTCTCTGCTACTGCAAACACTGATGACACACAGAAAAGCAAAACCAAAATTTCTGTTACATCTATATCTGCACTGATTTTAAAAAGGCTACAAAGTAAGTTTTAAAAGCCTAAGTCTCCAGCTGGTAACTAAGGATACCGATTGCTTCTACACGGCATTAGAGAAGCAGGTGTGATGGCTCTGTCTACTCTCCATCCATTGGTCACAGTGAATCTCATGAGAGCTTGGGTTCTTATTTCTGATTTACAT